ACACACACACACACACAAAAACACGAAAGCGCTACAGGGCTTCTCTTTCTGTACAGGGGATATCGTCAAGTCAGCTTTTCCTGTTTACATCTTCACGTCCCCGCGTGGAGCGTTGCTTGTCCCAGAAAATTATTCCGCATCTTATTCTTCTTACTCGTTCGCCTTTGCTGTCGCTTTTCTCCTCGGTCTGTTTCTCCTCTGTACTGTTCTTTCTGTCCACGCCCCCTGCCCTTGTTGTTGTTATTGCTGTTGTTGTTTCTTCTCCTCCTCCTGCTCCTGCTCCTCCTCCTCCTCTGTCCCGTATTTTAGTGGAGCATTTTCTGGGTCAGTGCCAGTTGGACTTCATTCAATTTAAAACGTTTTATCTTTATGCGTACTTGATCCTTGTAACAATAATATTTTATAATAAAGTGCCGCGAGGAATGGTGTCCGTCGCTTGCCTGTAGCTGTGTTCGCGTTATGCTAAGTTGACCCCCTAGGTCAAATGATAATTGCCGTTAATTGCTCCTTGCATAAGTAATGATGTGTCAGGGAGCCGGCCAGTTATGCTCGTATAGTTGGGGGGAGAGAAGTTTTCTAAGTGCTGTGCTTTGTGTAGAACAGAGTCAAGTGTTTGCTTGTATGCGTCAAATTGGGGTATCTGCATTATTTGATTTTACTTTTTCTCCCTTCAGGTCGCGAGCAGAGACTTTTGTCATTACGGGGTGTGATAGTATGATTATGAGGGAGTGACTGTATGATTTAGGGAATGACTATGAATAAAGGAAAGGATGATTTTGGGATTGAGGGAGGGGATGATTTTGGGATTGTGGGAATTGGGGGGGGGGGGATAATTATAGGAGATAGTGACTATAAATTGGGAAGGGGTGATTATATAATTGGAGGGGGAGGGTGGTAGTGATATTGGGAATGAGTGATTGTGTGATAGAGGAAGTGACTGCATGTTTAAGGGGGGGGGGGGGGAGGGATCTTTGTATTCAAGGAAGGGTGAATAATGGTGTGTTAATGTTACTTTGTACGGATGTTTTGTTTCCCAGAAGCCGGTGAAAAAACATGGTGTAAGTTTCTGCTAATGGAGGATTATTAGCAGCTGTTTTATCTGATCTGATCTTGTGTTTTAAATCGCGAGAAGTCGATCAATCTGCAAAGGAGCACATTACCCCCCC